CGAAGCCCTGAACGGTTTAGGGTTTAGGGGCTTAGGATTTAGGGTTTCGGGTCTAGGGTTTAGGGTCTAGAGCTTAATCTTATCCCCTGGTTCTTCATCCTACACCCGAGCCAAGCCGAAAGTCCGAGTGTAGGCGAGGGTGCAGGAGGTCAGGCTTCAAGTGTGCCGTTTAGGGTTTAGGGGTTTGGGGTTTAGGGGTTTAGGGTTTAGGGGTTTAGGGTTTATAGGGGTTTAGGGTTTAAGGGTTTCGGGTTTAGGGGAAGTGTGCTATCCCTGAATCTCTGAGCAAACCTGGAAAGGAGCTGAAGAAGGAAGTCAAGGATGTGGTAATTGGTGGAACAGCGAAGGTGAAGCAAGAAATCATGGAGAAGGAGGTGCCCCCGTTCCCCTGTTACCCTATATAACACCAATATTCCCCCATATAATATAGTTCCTGCCACTTTCTTTTTCATTATCACCTATAAAACACCAATACAATCCCTATGTAATCACAGTTTCCATTTCAATTTGCGTTTTCTTTTCCATTTGATTCTCCATTATTGGGGGGGGGGGGATATGCCCATGTTATTACCCCAATCCCCTCCTCTGCATGAATCACACCTTTTCCACCCATACGTAGCACTCAATAGGCCCCAATGACATTTCCAAGTTTCACAACGCGAGGTACCTTATTTGAGGATGCGGGCGTGTGCTGTGGTAGTGGATAAGAGGTTGCATTGTTGCGATAGGGATGCTGGCAATACCAATGCAGATGTGGTCATGTTTTTTTCAGGGTCCACTTCTTCCGTGATGAAGCTGCGAGTGCGCTCCTACTTTTGTACAATTAGGATGGAGGGAAGCCCTGGCCAATGAGGTCAAGAAGGAAAGGGATGCAGAAGTCAAGCACGAGATCTGCAATGAGGCCACCAGGCAGGCAAGCAAGGAAGAACATGCATCCAATGCAGACGGCCAGCACACAACGAGGGCAGTAAAGCCAGAGGTGCCTCCTGTGATGAAACACGTGAAGCAAGAGATGAGAGGGCAGGCCAGCAGGAAGGCACAGGGCAGCATCAAAGACGAACTGCAGAAGCACGAGCCGAATGAAGTGAAGCGCGAGGTCAAGTCGGAAGTAAATGAGCAGGTGAAGCAGCACGCGAAAAAAGAGGTCAAGGAGGAGGAGCCAGGAAGGGCGAAACAGGAGATCAAAAAGGAAGTGAAGCTGGAGGTGAAGACGGAGGCAAGACCGCCATGTCACGTGCTAGGTCGTGTTTCTGATGATGTGAGTCATGGATTGCTAGGTTGGAGGATACCCATAAACCCTAAACCCTAAAACCCTAAACCCTATGTTGGAGGGCATGACTTAGACCTCGAACCCTCAATCCCAAAATGTACGTTAGTGGAAGCGAGCTTGGGCAAGATGCACAACCTGGTTACTGGATAATGAGTTAGGGTTTAGGGCTTAGGGTTTAGGGGACAGCATTTAAGATGTGGTAGTTACTTTCTCCGAATAGGGGGATCCCAATATATACCCCAAAATACTATAATCCTTCTTATAGGAACCCCCCAAAAAGGTACGCCTAATTTTGGGAAACCCCCATGTATCGCTTCTGAACATCCACCTTACGTCCCGTGTTGTGGTTAACATTGGTTAACCTTGGTAAAAAAAGCACTCAAGCTCGCAAAGATGCTTCAAACCCTAATCCTCAAACCCTTCAGCGACCTCTGGTTTAGGGTTCAGGGTTCAGGGTTTAGCGTTTAGGGTGTACGGCTTAGGGTTTTGGGTTGAGGGTTTTGGGTTTTGCGTTTAGGGTTTAGGGTGCGTGGGGTTGTTGGTGGGCTATCGTGATTGGTACAGCCGTGACAGCTTGTGATGTGTTTGTAGCCCAGAAACCAGGCCGTGTCGCTTAAGCATGAGTAGACGCGCTTAGCAACCAATATGAATGGATGCACGAGTTGCCAACATCAATGCGCGGCAGTTATTGCGGATGTCTAGGCACAAACTGGCAATCAAACTGCTGAAGCTGGGACGGTTCAGAATGCTTCACTCGAGGCCCTGCTTTGATAACAAGAAGATGGGGATGCGATAGCGTTAATACACAAATAAAACTACACTAATGACAACACTGAGCAATAGTATTATTGAAAGCTTACATCATAACCTTACACCCTAGTGTAAGATATGCCAACTCGTTTTTCAACCCTAAATCCTAAATCCTACATTGTACCCTTAAACCCCAGTTGGAGATATGCCAACTCTCTTCAACCCCAAACCCGAAACCTTAGTTTGAGATATGCCAACTCTCTTCAAGTGAGGTCTGGGGCTGGCGTGGGGTTTAATGTTTGGGGTTTAGGGTTTGGTGTTTAGGGTTTGGTGTTTCGGGTTTGGTGTTTAGGGTTTAGGGTTTAGGGTTTAGGGTTTGGGGTTGGGGGTTTAGGGATTAGGGTGTGGGGTCTAGGGTTTCTGGTTCGGGGCTTAGAGTGTAGGGTTTGAGGTCCTGGCTTGGGATTCTCAACATTCTCAACACCCAAAGCTTTATACGAAGTTCTAAATCAACTAGTGAGCTGTTGCGGCGTTTTCTGAGCTAACCTGTTGTCGATATAGGCATACATATTACTAGAAAGCAACCAATCCCGAAAACAAAAAACACCCAAGCCCACTAGCTTGGCATCCTGGAACCTTGCAGGAGTCCTCGCACGGCTCCAGCGCTACAACAAACCACTCGCCTCTCAGAAAAAAACATGATTGTGGGACTTCTGAGAAGGGTCTAGGGCTGAGGGCTTAGCATGGGGCCCTACGGATGAAGTGTGATTACTTTGGGAGGGTTCTTGTCAAGGATGATATAGGCTGTATTTGAGAAGCTCCCATTCATTGCCTGATTTGTCACTATACAAGTATCATTCGGATGTACCCTCACTTCATCAAACTCGATACGGGGATTTCTCAAGAATCATCCCGACAGATCCCAAGTAAGGACCGCATCATCCCTGATGAGCACCATATAACGTTCAGGTCCCGTGTGACAGAGACTTGTTTGTCCAGGTGAGTGCTGCGAAAACTGTCACGGCAATTTGACCCTGAAAACTTAAACCGTAAACCCTCAACCCAAAACCGTAAACCCTGAACCCTAACCCTCAATGCCTTGCAGTATTCACCCCGCAGTTCAGAAGCCCTTCCCCCTTAAGCTCACAACAGCTTCACCTTGTAAATTGGACCATATCCCCAACAAGCCAGGAAGTTATACCCCTCGTGGTTTGGGCTGAAGTCTGGTTCCCGCAATCCATTCTGCCATCCTACCAAGCAGGAGGACGATAGCCGCGTGGAGTTGGTGGGGGTGGTGGGGGTGGGGGTGGTGGGGGTGGGGGTGGTGGTGGTGGTCGTGGTGATGGTTATTAGGGTCTGTTTTGATGCAAGACACCTGGGCTTTCCGGTATTGCATGCTGGCCTGCTTGTTGACAAGAGCTACGAGGTCTTTGAGCTGCATCATGGGTCCGCACATACGTAGCAAGTTAGGGAGAATTCGCATCTGAAGCTTGTGGCTTAGAGTTCCAATCGTTCTTCAGCCCACATGAACTAAACCTTGTTGATGAATAAGGACTGGAGTAAAGCGCGAGACCCCCGGAGGTGCGGCCATCCGTGTGAAGCAGGAAGAAGACGCCGAAGGCAGGTTCTATTGCAATCCGTGCCAATCTAGAGAACAAGCAGATGCGGGTGCGTTTTTGATTTTGTGCGAGTTCAGCTGAGGCCAGGGTCTGACGAAACGACGACGCATGAGCCAGAAGGGGCCGGACTTGTCACTTCCGTCCTTTGAGTCGCAGCTGCCAGTGTGGGCGGAGAAATGCCTAGCATTTCAGATCTCTGGCAAAACGTGGCTGCCAACCAAGCCCTGCTGCCCGGCAAGCTTGTTTGTCGGTCTCGGGAGGGCTCCGTGGCAAGAGAGCGAGGAAGTGCACCCAAAGCCGTGCGCTCAGCGTCTAGGCAAAGCTCAGCTCCGTGAGTTCCGTGCCTTCTTCCGCGAGCAGCCGCACCATGCGCTCTTCAAGAGCATTACCGGTCCACAAGAGAAGGCCTCCAGGCCCAAACCTCTGAGCTCAAAGCCCCCTCTCGGAAAGCCAGCTGCTGGCTCGAGATGGGCGTGTTACAAGATGTGGCCCTGGATGCGTGACCTTCCCACAAGGCTGTGGATGGGCAATGGCTGGATCATGGAAGAGGATGGCATGCGTAAGTTGGAGCCCTCCGAGCCCGGGGGCGCGATGCCAGGCATCCAGATCTTCGAGTCCGTAGGCACCGCCGTGGACGAGTCTCAGGACGGCTCTGAGGTGCACGCAGCCGAGCCAGGCCAGGCCACCAACAGGAGCTTCAGGGGCCTGGAGCGGCAGAGTGGTGTTCGAGGCATATGCTGGAACAGGCAGATGGCATGTTGGAGGATATCAGTGCAACAAGCTGGCAAGCGAAAACATATCCAATTCTTCATCGCTCCGTTCCTGAAGAAAGGCCTCAGCGAGGACGAGGCCGTGGAGGCTGCGCTGCGCGAAGCCAAAGCTCACCGTGAGGAGCTGGTGCGCAAGGGCGTCCTCAAGCCACCGAAGACCAAGGCCGTGAACCCAGAGCAGGGGAAGCCCTCAACCGTGAGGGGAGCGTATTTTGATAAGGATGCTCAGAAGTGGCGGGTGAAATTGGTTGACCCCACCACAAAGAAGCGGCACCAAACCTGCTTCTTCGCTACTCAGGAGGAGGCCGAGCTCAAGGCCCGGGAGCTTGCCAAGGAGCTGGGCCTCAAGGAGGAGCTGATCCCGGTGAAGCATCTCTCCGAGCTGAAGCACTTCGAGCCGCTGG